AAGATCTGTGTGTGCATGTGAGTGTTTGTATAGGAAGCCCCTCAGACGCAGGATGGAGGCATTTGTCTCTGAGTGGAATTACAAGTGGCGGGCTGAACAAACCCTCCAGTGGTCTAGAAGAAACACAAGAGGAAAAAAAAAAAAAAAGGATTCCTCTGTCTTTCCTGTCCTTTATTTTCCTGGGCCATGCCTTGCTCACACTGTGTGTGTGTGTGTGAAAAAGGGAGAGAGAGAGAGTTGAGAGCCACACAAACCACTAGAAGTAGATTCAATACTTGTGCTTAAAGGAAACAATGAGGAAGAATAAAGCTGCCTCACACTTAAAACCCACTAAACAAGGCTTCCGCTGCCCTTTCACCCATGAACTTGCATGACTATTAGTTGTGTGTGCGTGTGTGTTTGTGTGTGTTTGTGTGTGTGTGTGTGGGAGATAAATAAAGAGCAAGACTTTAGCAGAATCAGCAAGAAGAAATTAAAAGAGGCATGTAGATTCAAGGGTGTTTATTAAAGTAAATCCCTGTGCATGGGTGGACTGTGTTTTCTGTGTGGGAGTGAGATCTCAGTCCTCCTGAAAGAGGACATCTGTGCCAGGCTTCCAGCCTCCGACTGGCCAATCTAACTCACACTAGGAGTTGGCACCGGACGCCTCGGCACAACCAAAGCCAACCCTGCTCATCATTAGGCAGCAAAGGCACGGGGGGTTCAAAAGTCTGTCCTGCCAAACACACAAACACAACGCCAGAGAGGGAGAGGGACTAAGAAGCTTCGGGATGATTACAGAGGCCAATAAAGCCGCTATTTTGCACCCAAGCCTTGGATGTTTTCCTTCCCATGCTGTGCAGTTGTGATTCCGCATGTAAATATTTGGGTGGTTTGCAAACTCGAAAGAACAGAAGCCCCTCTGTACAGCCGGCGGCAAACAAAATGTCAGCAAACAGGCTTGTGACGTCGCCGGATCGCTTTCGAATGCATGGGAAGAGAAAAGTAGGAGTCAAAAAGAGCCCCCACCCTCCCAAGAGGGAACAGCGTCATCTTTGTCTCGCCCATGCAGATATAAATCTGAGTGCTGATTCAGACGGCGAGTACCATGAGAGGTATAGCGTACTGCTGTCTCAGGCCTTGAAAAAGCGTTCCATCACCCCCACGTGTCACATAGTTATTTGTAAAGGCTTCCCTTATGGACCGCTGAGACTGTCCAGTTGTGACAGAGGGAGCGAATAAAAGCCCACACCTCAATGTCACCCTCACTGAACTGCAATTATTATTCTTTTGTGCAAACGGCCATATTTATTCCCCCTCTCTCTGCCGCCGTGTCTTTCACCGGAAGACTCAGAAACCGTCCCCATCTCTATCGGCTCGTCAGGAACGATCACAGCGTGTTTGACAAATATCCAGCAAAAAGCCTGGCATGGGTTAAGCCTGGCAGATATCAAGTTATGATAGCAATGTTGACTAATTTACAGCAAGATTGAATTCCTTCACCCCCCTCATCTCTCATGCTGTCAAATAAAGGGCTCGTGGTCTAGACTGATGCTATCAAAAAAAAGCTTAATTAGCTTGTAATAAATTCTCATTTCCGTCAGTCTTCTACAAAGCCTCGGCCAGCACCGAGGCTCCGTGTGTGCCAGCTGACAGACGCCCAGTAATTTGATACTGGCATTCAGCGGGTTTCCTTTCTCCCCCGGCCATTTCACAGGAGAGCACGTCTTTAAATGTCACCCAAACACACACACACACACACACACGTGCGAACGCAGCGCTTGCCATATACACTCAAGAGCTGCGGCGATTAAAACGTTTGAGGCATTTGTTTTCGGCGAGCACACAAACAGGCAGCTACGCAGAGGATGATGGAATTACTGGCGTGAGTTTTGCTGGAAGAGATGCAAAAGGTGAGAGCTGTTTGTGGAGAAGCAACAACTATCTTGTTTAGCCTGAATACAAAAAACAGAGCTGATCCCATCCTCACTAGTTACCAAAGATTCACCCCATCAACCTCTGCACAGAAATCAGTTACTGAGAGCCCGTCATTTGTTGATTTGGCATTTTGCTGAATTCTTCTCCAGACACTGAAACTAAATCAAGACTCCCAAACAACTTGAAGCAAACACAGCGTCCATAGAAGGCTGCATTTAAGAAGATGGACCGAGCACCAAAATTTACTCTTGACCTTGGAAACACAAGTTGGACAGAGCTTTCAACCGCATCTCATGCTCTTCCTCAGTCGATGGAGATCCAGTTTCAAAACTCCAATTACATAATCAATTAATCAATGAACAGATACTTATGTTTGACTATTTCAAGCAAAAATTCCAATCGTTCTGGGTCATAGCTTAGCAAGTGGGCATTTTTTAAAGGAAATAATTGGCAGATTAATCAATAATGTCAATAATCATTAGTTGCACCCCAAACCTTTCTATCCTACTGAAGGCATTACAACCAGTAAGTCATGAACATCAATGTAGTTCCTTCAGACCCGAGTGACCTGGGAAAATTAATTGTTCAGATTATTGGTGCCTTTTTAAATAATTTCCCCCTGGGATTATTAAAGTATTTCTGATTCTGATTCTGATTTGCCATCCAAGAGAAAGCAACTCCTCCCTGGCAAATCCAAGATGGAGGAGAAAGTTGACCAGCCTCCTTTTGATCTTGAATTATCAATCAACACTTGAACACATCAGTAGGGTCAATCCTAGACTCTAAAATCAGTTTTTTTGCTGTTTTTCTGTTAAATTTACATCAAAATTAAGATTAATACGAGCGTGCAGAAGCCTCCACACAGACAGACTAAGATCCTCTCACGCTGCCAACAGCCTGTCAGAATAGAGCAACACATCAATCAAGTCGCTTGCAGTGTGAATACCTCCATTTTTGGCACACATGTGGCCATACTGTACATCACTCAAACACACACACAAATAGTTTAGTGTATATACAACTCGGTAGACCGGCTGACTGGCAGGAATGCTGCAGACATTTGTCTCGCAGCAGGAGCGTACTGACAGATTCACTCACCGTGTTAAACAGCAGTGAGGTGAACATCCCCAGCCTTGACTTACTGATATGGCTTTAAATATGTTTTTATATACGGTGTTGGGTGTGAATTTTTTAAATGACGATGCAGAAAAGGAGATTGAGTAAAAGAGTGGACGGATAACACACAAGTATCTACTCACCCACTAACTCCCACACACCCAATGAACTTCCCAAGAGGCATAGCTCAGATTCTTGGGCAGAATTTGCATCACAAATATCTTGGATGGGAGTGTATGCATGGAGAATAAATAAACCAGTGAGGGTGCCACTTTTCAACCCCATTCATCCCGCCTGTCACCCATCCATCCGTGCATCCATCCACTCCTGTTTAATGGGCATCCAAGATCCACACCACGGCCAGCGGGGGAGTGTGTGTTTGTTTCTCCAGCTCTGCCGAGAACCACAAACCACCAGAGATCAAGCAAGAACTCGACCCGTCCTTGGTAGCGGGAAGAAAAGCGTCCTGGAATCCCATTTGTGCCACTGAGAGTTTGGGCGATGGCCAAATTCACCTCTGAACATCAATCCACAAACTCTCCTGTGTTCCTGCTTCCTGCTTCTGCTTGTTTTTTTTCCACTTCAACATTCTTTGCCAAAGCTTGATGATATCAATTAAGACGGCAGATTCTGGCACCATGAAGAGCTCATCAGCCCAAAATGAAGCACAAAATATTACTGTCCAAATAACTCCAGCGCATCTCATATTCTGATACCACTCCAAAGCAGACACTACACCCGAGTCAAAACCAAACAGAATACATTAAAGTATTTATTGATTAATAAGTCTGCGAACAAACGCTGGTTAAAAAAATTTCAACATCAAAGCCTCTAAATGGTTTGCTTGGGTTCACAGGCAATGTGGTTTCGTTGCAAAACCTGCATCATGAACAAAATATCACACAGCAAGTGGCGAAACCTCAAATGTTACATGTTGCAGGAGCAAATATCACAGCCAAACTATCTGCAAATATCCTACAGTGATGCCAAAGGAAAACTGCAGCCCTTACACATAAATAAAGATATCATTAACTTTACTATAAATTGACTTTTGAGTACAGTTGACGTGCTACAAGTCTTTTTGGGGAATATTGCAGGAACATTAAAGTGATTCTCGTCTAGGGATTGACACCACAGGGGTCCTAATGATGAAAGGGAGATGTTTTCCCACTGCCTGTATAGCCCTCAGTATATCTGCTACATCTAAATTATTCAAAGACAGTAAGGAATGAGAACTGTGCCACCGGTGCAACCGAGCCCAATTCATATAAATCAGTGCAAATAGCCGCGGTCTTCGGTCTATATCAATGTCCGCTTAAGGGAATTGAATTAAAACGATGGCGCATTCATTCATATTTAGGGTGCAAAACAGCAGAGGAAGGGGGTCGTGTGAGTTGCGCTGATACCAGAAATTCGCTGTCTTTCAGTTCATTTTAAAAGATATTTGATCCCAGATTTATTTTTCTTTTCTTCTTTTTTTTGTACCAAAGACTTGTGGAATCAGGCACAAAGGCAAAGTGCATTTTGCTTACGTCCCGCTCGAACATGTTAACTGCTGTCCCTGAGAAGCTTTAAAACATCTAAGTAAAGGGTGAAAAAGAAGCGAAAGGAGGAGAGTTTTACGCAAACCTCGACACGCTCCTAGAGGCTGCTGAATCTCTCCTGCAGGTGCGAGCCTCTGTGCCATGATTAAAATCATCATCGTGGTTGGATAGGAAGTTGTGTTAACTTCGTATCAGTGATGTGGAGCGAACGACACAGGTGTTAAACTCTGATGTCCATTCACCATCAGTCAGCAAACAACTGCTGGGACTTCATCATTTCATTCTGCCCATGCGTTTATGTTTATTTCAGAATAGAAAGGTGTTTTTTTTGGGGGGNNGGGGGGGGGGGGGGTTGATCATTGCTTTTTGAAGTCCGACCTGACCGGGAGACCCAGGCACAGAGTCGCGCATCCAAGCACTCACCTGACTGTGCTGCACTCGATCGGATCACCACCAAAGTGACTAGGACGCAGGCGGGGAACTTCATCTTTGTAAAAAGGCTGCTTGTCTTGTTAACTCCCGTAACTCACATGTCCAATTAAGATATCCTCGTTTTTCACACACACACACAAAAATAAACAACCAAAAAAAGAAAAGGAAAAAAAAAACCAGTCGGAGTCTTCTTGGCTTCTTGGACAACTGGCACAGGAACCTGCGCCGTGGAGAGCTTTTACGCACCGCGCTTTGTTGTGTTTGTTTATCAGTTCCCAGACCAGTGTTTAGGTCGGTTTCCACCGCGGATACTCTGAGCCATTTACTCCT